GAACATTCAGCTTCCTCAGAGCCAAAATACCCCAGAACCCCGAACCCGGTCCCGATCCTTATGCACTACCTGTAGTTTCCATTGTAGTTCTAGGGTTTAGGGTTTAGGGTTTAGGGTTTAGGGGTTCCTTTCTGTTCGTTTAACCAATTCTATAGTAAGGATCCCAAAAGGTAACCCCGAAAAGGCATTACAATGGAGACTATAGGTATACCCCAAAACCCAAACTCGAAACCCTAGAATCCCCATGCCCGAACACGATGCCCTCAACCTTAAACCCCAAACTCTAAACCCTAAAAACCCTAAACCCTAAACACTCAACCCGAAGCCCTACACCCTGAACCATAAACCCTTAAAAAAACAAACTCGAAACCCTAAAATCCCGAACCCCTAAACAGCATACCCTAAACCCTGAACCCTAAATCCTAAACCCCAAAGTCCACAACCTAAAATGCAAAAGCCCCCTAAACCTATCTATAGTCTCCATTGCAGTTTTGTTTGGTTTAGCAAATTTTACAGTTAGGATTCTGTAAGGAACCCCAAAAAGGAACTACCATGGAGACTACAGGTAAACCCTATACCCGAAACCCCATACCCTAAACCCGAGACATCTCTAGATCCTAAGCTCTAAAGCACTTCCAGGTTTAGGGGAGGTTGCTTGCTGGGATCCTTCAGGGTGCTCCAACTAGGGTTTAGGGTTTAGGATTTAGGGGTTTAAGGTTTCAATATTGCTTTGGGGTTTTCAGGGGCGTGAGAAGGTTTCTTGCGGGTTTTAGGGGTCCACATGACCCAATAACTAGGTACTCGGGTTCAGGATGATACTATTGATGAAAGAAATCCTGCATCACTTTAAGGACTTTAAACTATGGAATTACGGTATACTCCTTATATCATGGGTACTGCAGGACTTAGATCATCAACCGTAGTAGCTTTGTAGGCTCCTCCTTAGGAGAGTATATGATAATTAGGCAGCTGGCCCCATGGGGTGGGGTTCTAAGGGTTTGGGGTGAAAGGTTTTCGGGCTTGTAACTGAAGGCTATATACTAAACGGGCCTTAATAATTAGAACTGGGTTTTGGGGTAGATTGTACTATAGTTATAATCAGGGACCCCCCAAAGTAGTATTATTTTAGACCCCTACATTTGGTGCCATGACGGTCTAGGGTTTCAGGTTCTCAGCTTCAGAAGTCTTAGGGACTCGGTAAATAGCCTTTAACCTTCTGTGGTCTGTATAGCCCTACCATACTTAGAGGCCCAGGGGACTTAGTAAGTCGGTTAAAGGTAGGGTTATGATTGAGGTACCTCCATTTCGGGTACTTATAACTCTACTTATAACCTACTTACTGAGTCCCTTGGGCCCCCAAGTAACTAGAGAGATTGGCCTGTTTTGGGCTAGGGTACCAGCCCCTAACCCCAAGGCTCAAAATATCCCAAAAGCCTTTCATAGTATGGTCTTCGGGCCCCAAAGCCTCAAAATATGAGTCCATAGGGCCTTAGGGTAAGAGCATTAGGATGCCCACTGTCTCCATTGCAGTTCTTTGTTTCGGTGAGCTTCTTCTTCATGCTTAGATAGCCAATAGGAGAACTTTAAACTTTGCAGCCTTCTCTATTAGGTCTATCCTAAAGGTTTGAACTTTTTTGGGCCTGGTTGTGGAAGAGAGTCATGAGACAATCCCAGCCGAAAAGTTGGTGAACCCTATGCACATCGGAGACCCTAAACCCTGTACACTGTAAACGAAATCCTGAGACTATGGAGACTCTCTCAAAGACCATATAGAACCCTGCCCCTGAGGCTCCAAAAAGCCCAGCAGCCTTATATAGTATGGTCTTTGGGCCCAAAAGCCTTAACATATGAGTCCTTAGAGCCTTAGGGTGCTTTGTGATGAAGGCCACTTCTCAACACACTGCCCTGCATTAGAGCAACCGTAAACCGTAAACGCTAAACCCTAAACCCTAAACCCTAAACCTTTTTTTAAGTACAAGGCTTGAGTGCTTCATATCTGTTGCCTGAACTGGCTCAAGAAGACCCTGAGGCTCAGAATCGATCGTATAGAATTCTAGATTTTACGGTTTAGGGTTTAGGGTTTAGGGTTTAGGGTTTAGGGTTTAGGGTTGGGTTTAGGAGCTTGGTCAGGTCATTCTGTCTCCCTGCTCCCCCCGTTTCGGGGTGTAGGGTTCAGGGTAAGTGGAAATCCTCCAAGGAACTCAAATGTAGCGCAGTTTAACGCGATTGACGAACATAGCCGTGCTGATAACCCTAAACCCTCAACCCTAAACCCTAAACCCTAAACCGAATACAGACAGGTCTACTCCGGAGCCTTAGGCAAAAGGCTGCTCTGCCTTTGTAGGGCCTTGGCGCGTGGTGCGAAGGTGCGTTGGGTTGCTCTGATGTCTACTATCGGGTTTAGGGTTTAGGGTTTAGGGGAGGGCCCTTAAAGGGTTCCGCTCAGGGCTAAGAGGGCTGATATAGAAGCCTAAAATATCCCGAAACCCTATTCTAAAAATCAAGGCCCTTACACTACTGTACTTCAAGGGCTCCTTTAAGGGCTGCTGAGGTTCCCCTATAAGGGTACGTGAAGCTTCCTTCATAGAGTCTGGACGGGTTCTATGAGGGGACTAACGGAGGTTCAGAAGGGGTCCTTTAAGGGATCTAGAAGGCTCGACAAGGATTCTACCATGGGTTTAGGTTTCAGGGTTTGTGGGCCCCGTTGGCTGTGCGACTTCGTATTTTGGCTGAAGCTCCGCGACCTCGAAAATGGATTGCAAACCAAGATACCCTAAGGGTCCATGTACTCAAACAGCATATAAATCGGCCTTAAAACAGTCCCTACAGGGCCAAAGTATTTATTATGTGGGTACATGGACCTTTTCGGACAGCGGTCGGAATAGTTCGTACTCTGACATAAGTTCATACTAAAATAAACCACCCAAGCTCTATTTTACCTATTAAGGCCTACTTTTGTTAAGGCTGGTAGCTCATACTGTCCCGAAAAAGTGGCCGTTGGCTGGTGACATAAGGGGACTGGAAAAGCTCGAGTAGGGATACTATCAATCCAGAGCCATACATGTAATTGTTACTATGGGAGAATTGTAATGCTGCCACCGTATATACTTTATAAGTCCCCAGTATCTTAGTTAGAGTATGTTAGCGTACAACACGCCCTGAAACTTTGTTCTGCTTATCAAGGACCCTACATCCCGATTGCTTCACTGAGCGTTACTGCGTCATGCTGCCTGCTCACAGCATCAGGGGGGCGTAGTGTCTAGGGGAGCATTCAGAAAGGTTTTCAGGATTTCAGTTTTTTTTCGGTGGCTTGGGGCCTGCTGAGGGGATGGGTGGGGGCCCTACTAAATAGGTATCATTACAACCACTTCAACTCACACTTGCCACTTCTTCATAGACCCTGTGCCCTGAGCTATCTTGCATTGCAGGCACGAGCTAGTCCGAGAAAGAAAGTTGTGGGCAGTTGCTCTCTGCACACTTTGCCATTGGAAGTCTTTTAGGGGCATACGAGTCATGAATTAAGGTTTGGGGCGTAGGATCTAGGCTAAGCGCCCTGGGCCCTCAACGGTCTACCCTCACCCTAAACCCTGAACCGTGAACCCTGATATCCTAGACCTAGGCTAGTGAAAATGATTCTTGAACACCCAACCTCTGCTCGTCGCAGGTGCACTCTGCCCTTGATGCCTCTCAATCTGCAAATAGAGGCCGGGGAACTTCATAAAAGACATGGGGGCTGTATGGCCGTCAGACTTTTAGGTAAGACCCTGGCGAGCAGACCAGTTACTGGAAGGGTCCATGTACCCGTATATACCTTGGCGCTCAAGTTGTCCCCATATAGATACGTTCGGGCCAAGGTATATGCTATGTTGGTACAGCGGCTGTCAGGGCTTATTTAAGGTATCGCGAAGCAGCCGTAAAGTCTGAAACCTCCGAAACCATGTGGCATACATGTACATACATGTGTATACATATTACATACATACATACATACATACATACATACATACATACATACATACATACATACATACATACATACACACACACACGTACATACATACATGCATACATACATACATGCACACATACATACATACATACATACATACATACATACGTACATACATACATACATACATAGATACATACGTACATACATACATACATACATACAAACAAACATACATACATACATACAAACAAACATACATACATACGCACATACATACATACATACATACATACATACATACATACATAGATGCATACATACGTACATACATACATACATACAGACACATATACATACATACATACATACATACATCCATCCTTCCATCCATACATACGACCAGACATACATACACACATACATACATACCTACGTACGTATGTACGTACGTGCATCCATACATATACAGATGCATGCATGCATGCATGCATATGCACATATACACATGTCCACACATATAGATAACATATACATATACACACACATACACATGCGCATGTACAGGATTGATGTGGACCTTACAACTCGGATCACGAATATGCTGAATACCTTCGATCATGCTGGGTGCCTGGTTGCGATACGAGCAAGGCTTCAAGGCCACCTCACGCAGGGAACAAAAGCCACAACCACCGAGACAGGGTTTAGGGTTTAGGGTTTACGTGTTCAGGGCCTGAATAAAGTTTAGCTAAACCCTAAAACCTAAACCCTAAACCCTTTTTTCACCCAGTTTAGGGATCCATACTTTCGCATGGTGTCACCCTCAAGACTGGTAGCAGCACCCATGCCGAAGTCGAATACCCCGAACCTTGGGAGCCTAAACCTTGAATGTAACTTAGGGGCCTCAATGATTAATCATAGTAAGGAACCAATGATTAAAATAGGGTTTTGGGGTATATTAAATTGTAAATATAATAAGGAACCTCCAAAATAGTATAAGCAAATATCTAGGCCCCTATATTAGCCGCGATCTTGAAGAACAACCAGCTGCCTCCTTCTGAGCAGTCGCAGGAGGCTTCGTCGTGCCTGGCCAGCATCACAGCACCGACAGCAACAATCGTTTAGGGTTTAGGGTTTAGGGGTTAGTCGCGAATATGGACCGTTGCCGATATCAGCAGCTAGTAACTAGATAACTTTCATGCCGATGTTCTGAACCGGCAGCTTGATAAACACAAATCTTCGAAAGCAAGCGTGGAGAAGAGAGTTGCCCGTAGGCCCAATAGTGGTTCCTTTATGGGGTTCATATTTAGAATCCTATAAGGTACTCCCAAAAAGGAACTACTATGGGGCCTGTTAGTTCCTTTTGGGGGTTCATATTTACAATCCTATAAGGTAATCCCAAAAAGGAACTACTATGGGGCCTGTGGGTGATAAACCCTAAACCCTAAACCCCAAACCATGAGGTAATCCCAAAAAGGAACTACTACGGGGCCTGTGGGTATGTCAGGTCCAAACCCTGAACCCGCTTCGGGAGGGCCTGCGTTCGGTGCAGCAGCCGGCTTGCATGCCGGAGCACTCGGCTCCTAGCAGAGGGTTTAGGGTTTAGGGTTTAGGGTTTAGGGTTTGGGGTTTAGGGTTTAGGGTTTAGGGTTGAATTGAATGCAAGTGAAACCAGACTTCGTTCTTCAGGTCGGTAAACCATGGAGTGGAAGCCTTTATGCAGACTCCGGTTTGATAAACCCCGTGACTTAAAGGGCCTTGATGTCTGAACACTAAAGGATTCAAATCATACTCTTGCCACACTGCTCAGTTAGGTATGGGACTTCGATTTATGTTGAGGTGAGTATCACTATGCATCGCAGGTCTCCCCTGAGGCCTTGAACCCAATATCATCGTCTTCCTGCACCGGGACTTCTACCCTCTGATATATATATATATATATTGTTTTTTGGTTGCCCTCTTCGAATCAGAACCTTCAGAAAATAGCTGGCAGGAAAAGGTCCGGCAACTCTGCGCCTAAGCCATCAACCCTGCATCCCAAACCCTTAACCTATATATAATATAATATAATATAATACAATATAATATAATATAATATAATATAATATTATATAACATAACATAACATAACATAACATAACATAATATAATATAATATAATATAATATAATATAATATAATAAAATATAATGTGATATAACATAATATAATATAATATAATATAATATAATATAATATAATATAATATAATATAATATAATATAATATAATTATAATATAATATAATATAATATAATATAATATAATATAATATAATATAAT